GTTGAAAGCAGGTATCTGGGATTTGTTTATCTTCTATAATTGCAACATTGTTGCATCCGAGCTCAGAGCTGGGCCTCGGCAGGCGGGGAACCTTGGCTTCCTCCATCACTGGAGCAAGCAAGCCTCATGTTCACTTTAGCTGCCTGGCTGCCGGCTGCCATCTTGGTTGGCAGTTAATTTGCATATCACCCTGATTAGCCAATGGGAAGGGTAGCGAAGTTATGGTTAATTACCATGTTTGTCTATTATTAGACAGTATAGCTATTGAGAGTGGGGAAAACAAGGTTGGGCAGGGAAGGGGTGTATGAAAAAGAGTTATAAACTTTCATCTTCCATGGTGGGAAGTCAATAAATGATCCCTAAAACTAAAACATCATAAAACTAAGTACCATAAGGAGGAAGGTGAATATCAAAGAAACAGCATAAAAGTTGACCGTGTCTCTGGAAGCAGGAAATGAGGGATAAGAGGAGTAAAGGGACTGATTGCTTTTTCTTTCAGCTTGTGTGACTCCTTAATCTGTGCTCATGTAGGTCTCTGATGTAAATTCAGTTTTTTAAAGTAAATAGAATCCAACCATCTGACAGTTAGAAACTAATGCTTATCAGCCTTTTATTAAGGAAATCAATAGAAACTATAAAGGCTACTCTCCTGGTGGCTTAATGATGGTGCAACTTTTGTTTAATGCGGGCAGGGAGAGATTTATTGCTTTCTCCCAATTGTTTTTCTTCTAGCTAAGTGTGAGCTTTTTTTTCAGTCACAGGCCTTAGCTCTTTAAATACAAATTAATGATTCTTGATTGAAAGTAGTATGCTGTTTTTTGAACTTTTAGTAAATTCAAAGATTTGGTATTAGCATAATTGCAGGGTATAGAAGATTGTTAACTAGTGCTTAACAGATGTACATCAAGTTACATTGCTAGGAGTAAATTTTTTAATGTAATTTCATCTTCCCTCTGAAAACGTTCTTGGTACCTTTGCCTGACAGTTTATACCTCCTCCTAATCTTGTCACTGTGCATGTAAGCTGCCCCCAGTCTTCAGGGGAACAATGCCGTGAACACTGCAGTATTGACTTCCCTTCATCATTAGTAAACTAATCCATAAATATAGTTTATACCTGTCTTTGAAATCCACCTGGATTATAAATATAATGGAACTTTACTGAGCCTCCATCCTCTCAACAGTGTTGGAACATTTAAAATGGATAGACAAAGATTTGGCCAAGTTGGGAGGGAAATCTGACCACTGTTTTTTACTTCCTTAATATAATCATATGTTTTGAGCTGATTTATTTTCACATCAGTAAACATCAATTCTGATTATTTTTCAAAGTGCTTACAATTATCACCACCACTACCACCACCCTTAGTATCTTTTAAATACTTTATAGCCACAAATTGCCTTTTCTAATAGTAAAAATATTTTTTAGCAGCAAGAGTAAAATTCTTGCTTTCTCTTCTTGAAATAGACATGATCATTATTGAATTTTCTCATCCTCTTTATGTCTAAATTAATTTGCACAGTGAAAGAAAAGAAAAATATAGAAAAAAAATAATTAAAGTAAATGGACTTACTTTGCTTTCACGGGCAGTTTAAACGTGCTAATGGCAGTAGCTTAACTTAATACTAATAGTTATGAAAATAGTTCCTGTTAGCGGCAAGCCCAAAAGCTAGGCAGCTCTATCCATCCCAACTGCTTCAATAATTGGTCATTTTTGGCAAAGAGCCTGGGTCTATAAATAATTCAATCTACTTTAGCGAGGTCTTAGCAGCAGGAACTGTCAAAAATGATATATGATGCAAAACTTTATCCAAGATTGACCTTATATCCCAGGCAACATTTCCAATGCAGGCAGTGCCTGACTTAGTTAGGATAAGCATGTTCATTTTGTACAAACGGCCATCTGGGGACAGCCAATCCAACTGGGAGGTCAGATCACCATAGTAACTCTCCCGTCTTGCCCTCTGCTGTCTCTGCACATTATCTCCCCTTCCCCTGGCCCTTCTGTCCCTGGCACCACTCCTTGCCTAGCTCTGCAGCTCACACCTGGCCTCGGGCCTGTGATTCCCACCCTGGAATTCTTTCCAAGTCCTTAAGGGCTGTGTTTCTGATTTTTGTTTTATTTTGTTTTCCAAAAAGTAACTTTCCTCTTTATGCTGGGGGTTCCTCATCTCTTTAAGCTCTGTCCCCAGTGCTTTGCAATTATGTCTGGTGCACAGTAAGCTCAGCCATGGTTGTTGAATATGTAGGAGAGATTTTGAGTTTTTCACGTGGCCCTACTCAAAAACCTTCAGCTGCAAATGTGAAATGAAACAACCATGCTTCTTATTTTTGTAAACTGCATGTGCGAAACTCAGTGTGGACATTTTTGATGTAGCATTCTAATCATAATTTATAAGAAGATTAGATGGACAGAAATCTTTAAAAGTATGGGTTCTGTTCTAGGGGAAGTTGCTGTTTTTTTAAGAGACAGTAGTAGCCCAGATTTTGTAAAATGGGGCTATTTTTAAAACTGTTTTGCCGTATGGCCAGCTCAAGTAGGAACTGTGGAGAGTGGTAGACAGATCATAGATTTGAGCCAGAAAAGCATGCATTTAAAAGCCATCTCCATTACTCTACAGCGATTAGTACATGGCCTCAAGCAAACCACCACATGATTGTATCACTTCTATAAGCTTCAGCTTCCTCATCTCTCAAACAAGAATCCTAAGAGTTCTGCTTCAAGCTATTGATAACTTCATTCCACTTTTAATAGGATTTGTGCTTTTGTTGTTGTTCCTATATTGGTATCATGTACTAATTTAATACTCTGTTCATGTCGTGACTATTTGCAGATGTTACCCCTCCATATACATCTGGTTATATAGAAGTCACTGATCTTCAATCAAAAAAACTCCGATATATCCCTATTCCCAGGTAATCCATTTCCACTTTTGTTCTTAGCTTGTATGTTAGATTAAAAGAAAAAAGAGTGACTTCTTAACAAGTACTTTGAATAAATGTGTGCTTTCTGCTTCCTTAAATAGAAAGCTCTTTTTTTTTCCCAGCTACAGTTGGTTTATATCTTGCGGTTCTTCTGCATGCCTTACTGCCGTTTTAATTTTCATTTTGGAAAAATGTTCAAATGTTACGTAGGTATAAATCTATCAGCCTTGTAGTCTTCATTTCTCTTTTATTGACCTGTCCTAATGATAAATTTTTCTGTATCTGAAACAGCATTTTTAGTATTATAGAAATTTTCATACTTATTAATTTCATATGTTAGTTTTCTGAGGTAAATGTATTCAAACTATCAAAGTAATTTAAATATCATTTGGTTGATATTCTTTTAAAATATGTTATTGCACAGTAGTGATGGTCATACCGTGGTCAAAGGATTTCAGAGATTTGGGATGAAACTCAGTGTCAGTCACTGCTTTTATTGTCCAGGGATGGAAGCAAAGCATTCACACTAGCTAGACTGAGGATAAGAAAGGAAAAGCAATGATGCTCTGTGTCTGAACACAGAGGTCCTCACCAGTAGCCCATCCCTCTCTGGATGCCTCCATCCATGACCTCCTTCAACCTGATCGTGTACCTGCCTTGATCTCACACCCCCTCCTGACATATACTCCCTCACAGGGAATGAGCCTTCACAACACTGTGGTTAAAACATCACTTGAAATCCTAAGTGGAGAAGCCTGGAAAGCCTTCCAGTGTCACAGGAAGACCAGGGACACTGGAACTTGTCAGAGGCCTGAAATATCACCACATCTCCCTTTTAGCCCCTTCTCCAACTCCCAGAAGAAAATAGCTCAGCATGACAGTACAGAATAACTCAGAAACAGTTTCCTTTACCCTTGAGTCAGGTTCAAGAAATATGAATAATGAAAACATATCCAAAGAAATAGATTTACTTATTCCAACATATATAAGGATGGCTTCTTGTGTCAGTTTAACGGAAAATGGCCTTTAGTCATTTAGGAAAAGTGTTTATTCCATATTAATGATATGCTTCTTAAAATATACTATTAGTGCAAGTTACAAACGCAAAGAACTTATTTTACATTTCTAAAGCATTAAATAATGTTTTTATTATTTGTCTTAATTTCTGCCTCATTAGCCCTAGCTTTTTATTTCCGTGTTTTTCTCTTTTAACTTTCTCTATAACCTGTATGTTATACCTGCTATAGAAAGAACATCTGGAGAGCAATTGTATATATAACCAGTGCCAGCTGGTCACCATAATTCATTTAGAGCTGCACTGTCCAGTAGAAATATATAATGTGAGCCACATATGTAATTTTATACTCCTTAGTAAGCACATTAAAAGAATAAAAAGAAGTGAAATTAACTTTAACATTATATTTAACCCAATGTATATTAAATATTATCATTTTCACATATATTCAATATAAAAATTTAATGAGATAATTTACATTTCTTACTTTCTCTAAGTTTTTGGTATCTAGTGTATATTTTATACTTACAAAACATCTAAATGTGAACTTGCCACATTTTAAGTGCCATGTGATTCTGTCTGTTCATTGTCATTATATCTGAGTTTCTCTCGAGATGAACTGTTGTCATATTTTGGCATATATGTAATCCAAGGGAGAAACCCATTTGGATTCCAGTTTTGTTGCTAAGTACTTAAATTGAGCATTCTGCTAGATATCAGGAATTTTTCATTTGATGGCTAACTTCAAATAATAAAAAATACAGTAAAATTATATGTAACTGCAAGACCAAAATGAATATATCACATTTGCCTTCAGTAAAATTTGAGTATTGTTTCTCAGATTTTTACATTATTTGCACTTGTAAAATGATAGTCCCTAGCCCTTGTATGTGGGTGTATATAAATCTAGGTTTCACTCTACTGTAATTCTATGTTTTTCTTAAAGAACTTGTTATGTATAAGGGGAACGTGTATTATTACTTTTAAAGGTGAAGAGATTCTAGACCTGGTGTACAAATTGTTGTAGAAAAGTAATTTATTCTGCACTTTTTATTGACATGTTGAAGAAATTGCCCTTGTAAATTTCCAGTTTCATGGAAATTTAAATATGCAAGCAGTAGATACAGTGCTCATTGGACGCACACATCTTGAGTGCTCTTAGAAGAGTTTCAAACATATTTCACATGGATAAATTTCATTATTCTTAAGTAGCCATTTACTTCACCATCTGTACCTACTAATTTATTTCCTAAAGTAAATATTTTTTTGGAGAGCACAATAAGTTATATTCTGTATTATATCAAATATTACTTTCTTTGAGTCCTTCTAACACTGCAAAGTAGTTCTGAAACACTTGTTCCCATCCTACTGTTATCATCCTCTTCATATAAACATTTTCTAAGACTTTTGCATTCCAGAATAGCTGACTTTGTTACACTGTGTTTAAAATCTACAAGGCAGACTAAAAAGAAAAATCAAAGTAGTCTTGGTTTATTTTTGGTATATTATAGGAATTTCTCTAATACATAGTGTGGTTTTGTGGTTTTACCAGATCAGCAATGATAGTTTATGTTTTTGTTATATAGAATGTATCAGATGTGTTTAGGGAGCACACAAACTGGTAATTAGGATTTCTAATGTATATATGTTATATAGATAATAAAGGGAGTATGTGTGCAATTGACTCTTAGAGGCAAACGCTGCATTCCTAGAAATGACTGTATATGTACCATAAATATAAAATAAAGGAAATGTATATGTATGAATATATAATACAACTAATATATAAATTCTTTATTATAAATCCTTACAGTTTTCTAAGGTAGGAAAGGCAAAATATCAAATACAAAGGAAGTTAAAACACATAAACAAAACATCAGTTTCAGCACTGACCTTATGCTGCATATTTGTGAAATATGAGTTGGTTTAGAGTTTCTTTCTGACAATGAATACTAATGTCACCTGGGACAAATACAGAAAAAAAATGTAAATAACCAGTAACTAAATGTGTATTTTTTTACTTACAGATGGATCTGGTGATATCTTTTAATGTGCTTATTATTAGAATTCTTTATAACAAGTTTAATACACCTAAATCAGGTTAAACTAGCTTCATTACCTAGATTACCAATTGCTTGAATACTGTGATTTCTTTTTCAGATCAGAATTTCTCTCCCCATATACCACATGGATATCTACTATTTCAGACACAGATGCACTGCTAGCTGAGTGGGGCGGAGGTGGTGTTGTTACTGTTGATATGGGAGGTCAAATCAGACTTTGGGAAACTGGACTTGAACATCTGCAGCGCTCACTCATGGAATGGAGAAACATGATTGGACAAGATGACAGACATATGCAGGTACCACTTGAATTGATCTTACCTCTTAAGGGTGCATATTCAAGTATAAATTGAGTTCATGAATATGCACCCTTAAGTGGTAAAACTCTACTTGTAAAAACGTCTAGCCCAACGACTCAAATATAGTTGTTTTAATGGCTAAGATAAATATCAGATCCAGAAAAAGGCAAATCCTACTCATCTAGAATAGTGAAAAAGTAAAAATATGCCTTTTTCTCTGACAGTGCTTAAACATACAGGTTCCTCATAGCACTGCATGTGAATACAATCAACTTTTATATTTTAACCTTAAGCATTAATCGTTTTCCAGCACCACCTCTGCATCTCTTCTGACGTGTACTGTCATCATTGTCAGCATCTCCACTTGAGATACTGAGGATCTAAAATGCAGTGTATTTTACAAGGTCAAAACTGTTAGACTAGAGAAGATAAACAAAACTATGCATCTAATAGAGATGTGTTTTTACCAAGTTCCTTATTTCCAGACTAGAGGCCTTGTGCACGAATTTGTGTATGGGTGGGGTCCCTCGGCCTGGCCAGCGATTCGGGCTGTCTTGCCCAGTCCAAGGGGGAGGGACCACGGAAGGTTGGCCAGCCACAAGAAGTTGGCTGTGGGAGCTCACTAATCACCAGGGGGAAGCTCCTGCATTGAGCATCTGCCCCCTGGTGGTCAGTGCTCATCATAGCGACCATTGTTCAGTCAAACGGTCATAACGGTTGCTTAGGCTTCTATATCTACACTAATAAAAGAGAAAAATGGTAATTGGCGTACGATGCTACCCTTTTCATTGGCTAATCAGGGCTATATGCAAATTAACTGCCAACTAAGATTGGCAGTTAACTGCCAACAAGATGGCGGTTAATTTGCATATGTAGGCACAGTGCAGGGAGGCAAAAGGGAAAGCAGGAAGAAGCCCCCTGCCACTGACAGTGATTGGAAACCCAGGGGGGAGCTAAGAGCTGGGGGGCAGCCATGATCGGAGAATCAGGGGCCTTTGCCGCCCTGGCCAGTAATAGCAGGAAGTAGGGGTGGAGCCAGTGATGGGAGCTGGGCATGGTCAAAGCTGGCAGTCCCAGGAGCTAGGGGTCCCTTGCCTGGCCCTAAAGCAAAGCCCAA